CGGGGTCAACGCAGATACCATCAGCAGGGCCCGGAGCCGGATCTCTCTCACACATTTCGTTCGAGCCTTGAATGACCAACAGATCTTACAGCGATCGGTTACGTGAGTCTCGCCCAAGCAGCGAAGACACTGAGTGTGCGGGTCGCTTCTTGGCATAGAACTGCGACAGGAGTCACACAACTTGAAGCCTGGGGCACGAGGCATGCCCCGCACCAGGCAACAAACTAAAGAAGTTATCCAACTACGGAGAAGATGAGTACTACTAAGGCTACTGGAAGGGCTACAGCAAGGCTGGAGCACAAAGTTCCGACTACCTTCACTGGCGGCAAGAAGGAACTGAGGGTGGGGGAAGTGCGCAGCTCCCCTTATAGGGCGCTATAGAGGCGCCACTCCAGGGGTTGCAGTGGTGCTCCCCCACTACGGGTACTGCTAAGGGAAAAACTTCTGGCACCGGTGCACGTGGCGAGCACGCACACCTACTGCGGAATACACAGGAGCAATCACTCAAAGAAGAATAGCTAGTTCCACATTGAAATGCAGCTGTGCATTTGAGATACTATATGACTGTAGTACATTTTGCACTGCCTGCATCTACACTGACATCAGGGAGGAGAAGAGGACAAGACTGTCCCTAGCATATATGAGGCATCACACATTTTGAGTATTTAAAAGAGTCTCTCATAACTATTTGTCTATGTGAAGTCTCATAACAGTTCACAAATTTTAGGATTGCCTTTTGCTGCATTTATCTTGCCTGTGAATCCAGCCCTTACAGTCCCATGTTCACACGTCATTGCTGGTGTGTAGAAGCTGATTCAGAAATATTCAGTAAGTGTATTATATGGTGTCATCTTACATCCTTCTCAAGGGCAAAAATCTTCTGCAACAATGAAGGCTTGGGCTCATGACCAGTGGCTGCAGAACTTTTGGATGCGCAAGTCCACATTTCTGCATCTGTGTGCAAAACTCACGAAAATAAAAGCTGCACTGACAATGGAGAAGAAAAAATAATTGCACTATGGGGATCTCCAACACTAGATTCTTATTGGTCAATCAGTGGTTTCTCTCCTAAACCAAGGTGAAATGGATTTCTTTAATGTATGTAGTCACAACATATTGTTAAAGATCATTTCATGCTCAATGCCCTGTTAAGATCTCTGCAGTCACAGATAATACCTTTCTTCTTGGGGAACCAGGGCACAGTATCCAGTCTGTCTGACTCATGAAAGGACACCCCCCCCGCTTGAACCAAAACTGATCAGAGAAAAAACTTGCATAGAGCAGTGAATGGCGGTGTGACACACACCTAGATCCCTGGTGACAAGTTTCAGGCAACTCCCCTATCCTCATCTGCATTAAAGATGTGATGACAGATCAATTTGGCACATTAGCCAGGAGGAAGCAGATCGGGAGTGTTTTTGACCACAAACCCCATCCCGCCTGATTCGCAACCCCATGGACCAGGCGGTAGCAAGTAGCCCCGATTGTTACTGCTGCGTGGCGGAAACCACACTCAGTTGCAAAACGGGAGGGTTGCTATACGTGTCGTCACACCTTCCAGTGGGAAGGGGGCGGTGGGAGCTCCGTGGGTGGGACCGGGCCGTCACTCCAAACCCCCCACTCCCTACACCCACCCTGCGCAGTGCTGGGGGCAGAGAGACCCCCCCCCCGGCCGTGTTACAGGGGGCAGTGCACATACACTTGTATGCCCGGCAGGACTCGTGGGTCCTATCCCCGGTCGGGGGGGCTGGGCACTAGAACTCCTGGGTTCTCTCCCCGACTGGGGGCCCTGGACCACAGGGGAGGGGGCTGTGGGGTCCCTGTTACCTTCACTAGCCCGGGCTGTGGCGCAGAGGCTGGAAAAGCAAAACCGAAAGTCACTTTTCCAGGCTAGCCCCGCCCAGTCCAGCCAGGGAGCGTCTGCAAATTCCCCGCCCCCAGCTACTCTCACCCAGGGGCCTGGGATGGTCCCGCTATCAGGGGAACCTTCCTGGCGTCTGCACCGCCCCGGCGGAGTCGGCTAGTGAAACCCGAGTCCTCGCTCCAGCTCCCTTTGCCCGGAGGCCTGGGTGCCTTCGAGTGCTCCCCTTCCTCCATCCGGCTCGGCCGAGTCCCCGAAACCCCGACAAGGCTGGGCCCAGGAGCCTGGTCACTCAGGACAGGGGCTGGGTGTCCCCACTCCGGGGTGATCTCCCCGCACCTGATGCCTCCCTGCCCTGCTGGCTGTTACATACAGTTCAAAGCAGATACACTCGAGTTAACAGTAACTGATAACAAAAGCCAGGGGGAAATGGGCAAGTTTCTAGGGCAGTGGTTCTCAACCTTTTTTTCCCCACAGACCACTTGAAAATTGCTGAGGGTCTTGGCGGATCACAGAATCATAGAATATCTGGGTTGGAAGAGACCTCAGGAGGTCTCTAGTCCAACCCCCTGCTCAAAGCAGGACCAGCACCAATTAAATGATCTTTCCTAATGTTCTTTGTACTGTTAGCTAACTATTGTTGGATAAAAGCACAATATAAAAAACCCTTAATAATAATTAACTATCTCTCTTGCATGCATATTATCTGCACACATAGCGCAGCTTTAAGATGCTAAACAAATCTATGAGTCAACTAGAAATAGCCATGCTCTCATTGCAAACAGGGCCGGCTCCAGGCACCAGCTTGGCAAGCAGGTGCTTGGGGCGGCCACTCCGGAGAGGGGCGGCACGTCCAGCTATTCGGCAGCAATTCAGCAAATGGTCCCTCACTCCCGCTCGGAGCGAAGGACCTCCCGCCGAATTGTCGCCGCAGATCACGATCGCGGCTTTTTTTGTTTGTTTTTGGCTGCTTGGGGCAGCAAAAACCCTCGAGCCGGCCCTGATTGCAAATATTAATAC